GAGACAATTATAAGAGAGACTAGGCTAATGGTCCTATGAAAAAGCATATTTATTCTACTAGGATTTTGAATAAATATTTTGTGAGAATAGCCAGGAGTAGATTAGAACAATGCTTATAAAATACTGTTCAAAGAACACAAAACATTGTTAGGATTATTGATTTAGAAAAAGAAAAAAATGTGGGGCTACTGACATTGTGGTGCATAATATGACATTGAAGCATAGGAATAAACAGAGGATAAGAAGTACAAAGCTTAAACCACTAGCTTCTCACCATGTTTCTTTTTCCAGCTCCTAACCAAGATGTACAAACATGCAAACATACAGAGCAGAGTTGGACAAGGCATGAATTATTTGTACATATACTGATGGCACAACTGAAAGTTGATTTTGGAATACTGATGGGGGATATAATCCAACAATACTTGAAAAGAATTGGGTATGAAGACAGTAAAATTGCCTTCAATTTTACCTTGACTTCTATTGACTTCATGATCATGTGCATATAAGAGTTATGAAAATAGTTTGCCACTGCATTAGTCCAAGATATATTTCTGGTTTTTCAGTGTAGCTTTCAGCAAAAAATGGCTTTCAAATTCTTCAGAAAATAATTTGTCCTTTATCTTAAAAGTTAGAATTTGCACACTTCCAGTTCTCTTTCTTAGACCCACATACAGTTTTGGACCTAAGCATGCATACACATATGAGCATTATTTTACTATTTTTGGTAATTTTTATGTAAAATTATTTTTTATTTTTCAGTTCTGTTTTTGATTCAACATTCTTGCTGAAGATGTGAAAGTTGAGAAAAATCGTATTTATTTTACTGTTTGTATCAAAACTATCTTTGAAGAGTTTTCCAGTCTACAGATTTTTATCATCATTAATATCATCATTGTCATTATCATCATCATCTACTAATTTTTAAAATGTTTATGTTTGCAAGCTCTCAAAACATTTTGCTTACATTTTCTGTCAATTTATGCAAATTTTCATGGACAAAAATAATTATTTTTGCTTTTTTACATATACATTTCCTTGAGGTAATTTGTCAAGTATAAATACTCCCATTGCAAATTTTTTAGAAAAGTATCACACTCTTTGAACATAAGTGATTTTTAAATGGATCTTATATTTATCATAGGAAAACAATCCTTGGAAAGCTGTGCTTGAGGCTAGTGAGCACTAACAAATATGTAAAGGAAATGAAAAACCATCTTGCTGTTTCTGTTTTTGTGTCTGTCGTCTTGTATCTTTTTTCTGAGATAAAAGACAATGGTTGAATATTGGCTTTTTCTCAACAAAAAAAAATCTTTTAACCTGACAAGATAAGTAATAGCTTTTCAGTTGTTTTTCAGTATCTGAGATAAGGAAGTGCAAAACTCCTGTAAAATGTCCCCAAAGTGACTCATATTATCCAAACTGTAGAAGTATCCATGAAAAGAGCTGATCACCATAGTTAAAAATGAAAGAAATTATTCTGTGCCAGTTGCTTTTACAACAGCTTTGAGCTCACTTTCTCTCTCTCTCTCTCTCTTTCTCTTTTTAACAAATATTGAGTGAACTCATGGGAAAAAAATGAAGCTGATTTAAGATACTCTAATTTAAATTTTGAGCATAAACATATATTAGTTTATTGAAAAAAATAGTTACTTTTAATATTTTTGTAGACAAGAGATGATACAACTAATTCATTAACTTGACTTCATAAATATCAGCATTCAAAAAGTATATACAGTGTTAAATTAATAAATTAATCAGGTCAAAATCCACAGGCATTGGGAAATCCAGATATGGGCACAACCAAAATTTAAATCCCGCACTTTGTTATACTCATGTGGCACAGATATGTTTTATCGTATCGTTAAGACCTCACTACATGCTTTAATCTGCTTTACATTAAAAATTTTCCACTCAACAGGATTATATTTTAGAATATCTTCAAGGCAATAATTTACAGTATTCACGATCTTTAGATACCATGATGTCAAAGCATAACATCTAGGTTTTAGACTCATAATTAAATTGTAATCAAATATATTTCACTTCCATTAAATTAAAAGGTGTAATGTCGCTATTTTTATATACCAGGCTTTCTGCAATTAGCAATTTCTGCTGATTTGTTGGATGGCTACGTCTTTATTTTCAGGTGTCTTGATGAAGAACAGAGTCCTCACTTAATGTCCACTTGTTCAGCAATGATTCAAAATTATGATGGTGTTGAATGAATGGGAGTTACAATGGGTTGTCCTAGTTGTCTCCATGGTCATGTGATAGTGCTTCTGGTGCTCAGCAACTGGCTAGCAGTTACATGGTCATATGGTCACCATTTGTAACCTTCGGTGCTGGTTTCTGACAAAGTCAATGGAGAACCCTGCAAGAGGTTGCAAATTGCTATCATGTAACCTCAGAAAGTTGTGATTGGGCAGAATTCATGTAACAAAGGAAACATTATAGTTGGTGTGATCACATGACAAGAGTTCTTAGTCCAAATTATTACTGGTAAATGAGGTTTATATGTAGAACACTTCTATTTTTAACCAGAATACATAAAAAGGCATAATTCAGAAATATTTCTGCCTTTGAAAAACAGCATTGTTTCACAGGGGCTCAACAAAAAGGCAGAAGTGTTAGCAGGAAAATAAATGTATCCCTATTATGAGACTGGCCACAACTGCTGGTCACAATAAAATTAAACTAAACTTGCACTAAATGATGGAAAAGCAGGAAAAAACTGGCATAGTTTACACATGCTGTACTAGTTTACTCCTAACCTATTCACAGGGAGCAGCATTGTTACTGAAAGCTCATTGTCATTTGAATGTATTTGGCTTTACAGCTATCATCATGTTTTGGGTTGCCATAAAGAATTCCAGAAATAAGAATCAAGAGTTGTCAGAAACAAAAACAGAAAATACATTGTGTTTCATAGTTCAGGAGCAGCTACTTAACGCTATAAAAGATATTATAGGTCAACAGCTTACACGTCCTAGAATAACTGGGGAAATATGACATACATTTCTTAGATGTCATCTATTAACAGTATCCAGAATTAAAATAGTTGTCCACTTAAGGGACCAATCCACAGCCAAATTTAGAACCATTTAATAATGGAAAAATGAACTCGCCTCAAGTTTCTTATAACTTGGCTACAACTTCTAAGTTTTGTTGTTCAATTTATTGTAGTTTGTTTATTTGTTTTGCCACATGGCAACCTTTTGTAACTTATGTATTATAAGAAAAAACACTTAACTCTTAGTGAACCAGGAAGCAAACAAACAAGTAATTTTAGAGTGTCATCTAAATTGCTTCTATCATTAAAGGATAAGGATTTGCATTGTTTGACGGAATACTATGTACTATGTACTGAGCTCTTTAGTATTTTACCACCCATATAGCTTTAAAACATATTTCTTATTTCACAGAATCAGAGAATCAAAGGGCTGGAAGAGATCTTGGAGGTCTATCAGTCCAACCCTCTGCCCAAGGCAGGAAATCCTATTGCATCCCAGACAAGTGGTTGTCCAATCTTTTCTTGAAGACCTTCAGCAATGGAGCACCCACAACTCTAGGAGATAAGCTGTTCCACTGATGAATTGTTCTTACTGTCAGGAAATGTCTCCTTCCAGATTGGATCTCTCTTTAACAAGCTTCCACCCATTGCTTCTGTTCAGGTTTGTCTTTCCTTATTGCTGATCTATTGTATATTTATTTTGTTTATTATTATGACTTTTCTGCTGTTTCAGCCTGACTCCTAGCAGTTCACAAAATATCTATTCAACAATGTAGAAATATAATCAAATAACATAAAAATGTTATATTTTTACAATATCTAATACTTGTTTTTATTGAATATAAAGAAAATTGCATACAGTTTTAAAATTAAAGGTAAGCAAAAGATAGATTATGAATTTTTTTTTGTAGCAGGTCAATTAAGAATACTTGCTAGGAGTCAGGTTGATACTCCCCCATCTACACCCTTTTTCAGCTTTAAATATGAGAAATTAACTCTTAAACCACCAAAACATATCATTTTTGTAAGAATTATTACATGCATCTTAGTCTCATGCCTAACTACCTATATTTTAATAAAACATTGCCACTAATATCAAAACATTAATTATATTTTACCTTACGTAACTACAATGCACTACACAATTATGCAGAAGGTAACTGGTGATTAGAAAGCCCTAAGGGCCACAGAAATCCACAAAGAAGCTTTAGGAGACAAAAGAGGAAAAAAGAACTTGATAAAGACTGCTCTATGGACAGAGAAAGATGAGCATTGTTGCAAGTGGAAAAAGAATGATAAAACCAAGGACATGAGCAACTATCAAGAAGAAGACATAACCTATTTACAGGCTATAAATCAAAGAAGGATGATTAAACTATGAATCCCACTTAGGTCATTGCACTATATGAATTTGTTTTTTGTTTATTTGCTTTTTTGTTCTAGCAAGCATACTTGCCTGAGAAATACAATAAATAAATAAAAAGACAAATAGATAAATAAACAGATAAACAAACAACTTTGAAGGAAGTAAAGATCATAGTAGTTAGGAGCTGATCCAATCTGGGACAGTCAACTGGGCCCAGAGGTTTAGTTTTCCAAGCTTTTGGACTCATGTTGGGCCCAGAGGTTTAGTTTTCCAAGCTTTTGGACTCATGCTGGAGCCCATCCTCAGGGAACTTCTCTCTCACCAAAATGCCTTCATTCGTTAGGAGTTGAGATTATATTTTTGCTTTGCTTCATTTATGTAAGGTAGAGTTTTGTATGGCAGATAACTGCAGCCTTTGAACATGGTTTAATTTACAGAGCTCCAATTGTTGCACATGCATATTGCTGGCAAAAATTATTCTTCTTGTCTTCTGCTAATAATCTTCATCTTGCTGCTGATTTCCATATGCCAATATGTTGATTTTTCCAAATGCTTAAAAAAATCTTATGCTTAAATCACACCAACACACACTCATGCAAACCACACACACACACACACACACACACACACAAATCGTACAATAGTGCAGGACTTTGATAGTCATGCTTCAATGAAAAGCAATATATAATGTTTATGAGTGAAGCAATTATTTCACTTTTATTTCCTGTCATTAAAACGCTCTTTAGCAAATGACTGGGACTCCATCAAGTTATTTTGTAGCTATAATCTTCTGCGGTTGGATCAAAAGCAAAGGAATTAAAATATTTCCATTGATGATAGCTCTCACTGTATTTCCCACCTTCTTTAGAACATGCAACATTTCTGCTAGCTGACTTCATGCATTTTTCTTTGCAAATTTCTTGTCATACAATTGCATTAGACAAATTTTCAGTTCTGATGGAAGACATAACTCACACTCCCACCTAAATGTAGACAAGAAAAGCCAAAATAGCTCTTTTACAAAAATAGTCAAATATAAGGGATTCAGAATTAGAGTTTGCTGTCCTTTATTCATTATGGAACAAAAAAGGTATAACAAGATTTATATGACTTTAACCAAATTGATCATAGTAAATGGATTTCCATTCTTCTAGTAGGTGCTCAGATGTCAAATATCAAATAATACAAAAACAAGAATAGTCAACAATCAATCTAAACCCCTGTCCTAAATCCAGAAGATTCCGTCCCTAATCATGAGATAAGAAAGCTGGCTATGTCAAGACACAATTGCATCTAGTAAAGCTGCTGGAGAATAAACTGCTGGACACAGCCAGACATGATAAGAGACAACTGTGCTCATGAGGGATCAGAAGTTGCTGATAACTAGGCTTCTTACTAATATCTCCAGAGCAAAGCCCTATCAAAAGTTTCCTGTCAAGTATTGCCAAGAACCTTTCTTGGAAATTTAACTCACTTTGTTTTTAGATTTTCTCTGTTGCAGCTTCTATGAAAATAGTTTGCGTGGGAAATTGCTTATTAGATTTATGAAGTAGCCTGAATTTATGACTTTGAGATACGCTGATTGGGGATGGGGAGAGAGATAGAAAGAGGGATGATGCATGCTATATATGTATAGTTTCCTGACCTATAATATTCCATATTTCCCTTCTATTGATTCTTATCTATCCCTTCAAAGCAATCAGTACCCTTGCATACACATAAGTTCAACAATGGGTCGGATAAAGGAAAAGATACTAAAATTAAATCCAAAAAGGCAGTGGTATTGTTAGCAAACACAGGTAGTCCTCGACTTATGACCACAATTGAGTACAAAATTTCTGTTAAGTGAACTTTGCTCCATTTTACAACCTTTCTTGCTACGATTGTTAAGTGAATCACTGCAGTTGCTAAGTTAGTAACACAGTTGTTAAGTGAATCTGGCTTTCCCATTGACTTTGCTTGTCAGAAGGATGCAAAAGGCGATCACATGACACTGTGACCCCGCAACCGTCATAAATATGAGTCAGTTGCCAAGCATCCAAATTTTAGTCATATGACTATGGGAATGCTGCAAAAGCCGTGAAAAAACGGTCATAAATCACTTTTTAAAGTGCCGTTGTAACTTTGAACAGTCACTAAGAGAACTATTATAAGTTGAAGGCTACCTGTAAAAATCTGGGATTGGTGACTGAGACTCATTTTATTTTACATGAGTTTGACTGGTCCTGAAAAAAGCAGATTCACACTCGGGAATACTACTTGACCATTCAGTATTGGATTTGCAGCCTGCAACTTGATTGTTCATTATACAGGTAGTTCTCATTTAATGAATACAATTGGCACCAGCAACTTAGTCATTAAGCAATGTGGTTGCTAAGTGAAACCGTGACTTTGTTTATGATCTCATTTGGCTGTCCTTTGCTTCAGAAGCCTGTAAAGGTCAGAAAAGTGAGAACTAGTCACAAAGTTATTTTTCATCACTATCATAACTGCAAATAGTTACTAAGAGAGACAGTCACTAAACAAAAACTGCCTGTAGTCTATATATTTTGAAATACATCAAAAAGTTGTAATTAGTGCAAAATGTGGCTTCTAATTGTTTTGTACAGTACAATGTAGACTGATACTACACTAGTTGTCCACTGGAAAGTTCAGCAATGTCAGAGGCCCATCTTTTTGGGATGCAGAAGAGGGATTTCTTCCTTATTGATACCAAACTATCCTCATCTGCAGCATTTAGTTTCCATTCTCTCAGTATTTAAACAAGTGTAAAGATTAATTTATCTCAACAGGATTATAACTGCAAAATGATTTTAGTCTAGATAATATATATATATATACTATTCAATATTAATTTTGATTTGTTTTTAATTCTTTATTACCTGTTCTGGTGTGATTCGTTTGTTTTAATTTTACTAGATACTATATTTATTAGAACACAAAGGCAGGGTATTGAATCAATCAATCAATTGAATAAATCCAAGTGGTATGGATCTGATAATAGCTGCAAACAATAGAAAGAAAATTAAAAGTTTTATTACACATATGGAAGGTTCTAATCATCAGACATGTCATAAATATCAGAGAATTCAGGGATAAAGAATACTTCTAATACTTAATATACATAACTATAATAAAGGTGCTGATTAACACATTAGGCTTAAGCCTATGGACACACTTAGATCATTAGCGACAGATTACAATGACAGAGTAATCTTAGCTGAGAAAGCCAGTTGGGAGCTGGAACCAGTTATACCACATATCACTCTGCTTCATGAATTGTTACAAATATTCTTCAAAGTGATTTTCCTCAATATGTAAGTATGATCTGAGGCCCAACTTCATAGGCCAGACGTCCTATTTAAAAAATGGGCCACATTAAAGACCTAGTCTTTACCCAGGCCTATAGTCCTTCAGCAAATGCACTAGAAGAGCAGTTTCACTAAACTGTGAAGCAAATGTTTAAAATGTTTATCTACAAATACTCTAGAAAACAGTAGCAGCTTAGCATCTTTGTTATCTGCGTTCAAAAGGTGCCACTAGACTGAACTGACATTTGATCAGAAGACGAGATATTTTGGACTGTATAAAGAAGATTGGTAGAAAAGTTTACATTTCAGTTGATTTTGCAGATGTAGCAACTTCTTAGTTGGGTGTCATTTTTTTAGGCCAAGTTTAGTGTAATCAAAAGAATAATCACATTGTTCAAAAATAGGAATTTTAGTTAGGGCAAAGGGTGTTGTGATCAATATTTTGGTATAATCATTTTACCCATTGATGTTTATATGAGGCAGCTATTAAAACAGATTGTGCCTATAGATTATGAAGTTCCCTTCACTTGAAAAAGGTATGTTTCAAATAGTCCTTTGGGTAAGTATACAGTACTTAAATTGTGATACATTTGTTATCATATGCACTTAAAATTATAATAATCCTTTACATACATTTATTTATTTATTTTATTTGTTAGTCAAATTTGCATAGCCACCCTCTCACAAAAAGCAACTCTAGGCAGTGTGCAACCTTGAAAATACACTGATTAGACACAAATAAGAACTAGCGTCGTTCTAATGTTCTACTGTTAAAAGAGACAATTAGAGTATGACTGGCAAAAGGAAGTATGTTGGAAACTGTAATATGAAAGGATGGAGATAGTTGAAGTGAAAACTAATATATCAAGGTTGAAATGTTTAATGGGAGTTTAATGGGCAGTAGTAATAACTTTGAGGAACAAGGGAAGACCTACAACCAAGACAGTGGTCTTAAAGGACATCTTAGTCTGGGGCAGAAAATTATTTGAGAAAGAAATGTATTCAGATTTGCAAGTTTCTATTACTATACTCTTATAATAAAAGCAGCATGAATATTCATACGTTTGGTTCCCTAATATGTTCTTGAAGCAGACAAGAATACAAAAAAAGCAACAAAATTTTCAGAATATTCTTGCCATAGTTTTTTCCCATAGTTCTGAATATGTGACATCTACATTTTTGTTTTTATCTATATGAAGCATATGTTTATGTTTTACTTGAATACATTTCTACTATATTTACCAAAACAAGTGTGATAAAAATATAATTAAAGATAACTTCAAGTTTCAAGAATAATCTACTCAATTTTCCGATGAAGAAGCAAAACTATTATAATGGCTGTAATAATCTCTTCCTGAGGTGTTGTTGAAAAGATTATACTATCGCAGAGGATTTAGTGTTTATTCAAAGTCTCCTGTACTGTGCTTTGAAATCAGTAATTTGGGTGCAATTTGCCTACTACACACGATCTTCAAACAATTGAATATGGCAATCTTATAATCTACAGATGTTATCTATTTATATATATAACATTTGGGCGCCCACCCACCTTGGGACCAGAACAATGGGTGGCTCAAAATTCCAATATAAAAGCAATATCATACAAATAATTAAAACAAAAATAAAATAAAATAAAATAAAATAAAGCCTGGCACTATACCCAAACTCTATTGATACAACTCAAGATACATCTTGCAACTTCAGCTTCACCTTGTCCCAATGCGTGAGGGGAAAGTCAGGTCATCATAGCACTTTCCTGAAAGTAAAAAAGGTAGGCAGTGGCCTGTCGAATTTCAAGGGTAAGGTTGTTCCTTAAGGCAGGAATTGCCATGGAAAACTTATGTTTCATAGATCTCACAATGGCAACATTTAAGGGAAGGGACATGACGTGTACCTATTCTATCCAGTTGGATAGACAACATATCTAACTTCTATTTTCTTACAATATCTGTAATCCCAATTACTACCTTTACTATCTCCTTCCTACTTCATTTTAAACATGGAACATCCTATTTTTCATTTCCTGTAAAAGGAAACTGAACTTTTCACAACGTTGAAAACAATTACTCTTGTTTATACATTTCAAATAATTGTATGGCATGAATTTTGCAAAGAAAAATAATAAAGTAGGAAAGGTAGTATAGAGAGATCATTTTGTGACCATATGTAAATGAACATTATCAGTCTCTTCACTACACAAGTCTGTTCATTTGGGTAGATTCCACTTACTGCAAAGGAGTAGATTCCTTTGAAAAATCTATAGCAGAATAAATAGATATAAATTATAAATAAAACAAATATTGTTAAGTAAAAATATAATGTAATGACCTGTAGCTTAACATTTTTAACCTAAAGAATGCCGTAAGAAAACAGAATATTATTAAATTAAATACATTTTATAGTACATATTATCAGATTTTCTCTTCAAATTAGTGTTATGGGGTTCCTCCCCTTTTAGGAAAGCTCAATCAATAAATCAATGTTATAAAACCTCAGTCAAGCAAAGTAAAACAAAGCAAAATAAAACAAATTGGTTTAACTCTAAATTGGTTCAGTTTTAAAATTCAGAAAACATAAATTTATTAAACATAATTCATTACTATATAAAAATTAAAAAGAAATTAGTAATAGAATGACAAAAATAAAACAGCAAACGTTTTTTACTTTTATATACCTCTAAAAATGTACATAAAAGTAATGTCTTTTTGGACATAGTTCTTCTAGTTACTATGTAGGGTTGGTCAGATTCAGAAATCATAGATTCATTCTAAGACAGAGTCATTCTAAGCAAGTCTCAAATGTACATGTACATTATATTTTCCCCTTTCTAAATAGTCTGTTTGGTCTAATTATTATTTCAAAAATAAAATAACAAATGTAGTGTATTATGTCTTATGGACCATAGATGATATAGATGAGAATGCATGTGATCTTCATAATTCTGATTTCTTGAATTACTGCATATTGTCCTATAGCCAGTGGTGGGATTCAGCTAGTTTGCACCACTTTGGAAGAACTAGTAGCTAATTTTTTGTTGCCCAGGCCCAGAATGGACTTCCGGAAGCGACATCCACACAGAGAACCGGTTGTTCATATATTTGAATCCCACCACTGCCTATAGCTCATTCCTTAAAATTACAAAGCAGCAACTACATGGCAAGAATATTTCATCATCAGTTTCCAGTACAGTATTTACAGCTTACTGACCAACTTACTGACTAGCTGGAAGCATCCTGTAAGCAATTGCATTTCTCCCTAACCTTCTTTTCACAAGGAGAAGACTTATATTAAGTTCAGTGTAATTTTTTCTTTCAGATGGATACCAAATTCAGTTCCAAACCACTGAATATTAAATGGTACTGTTCCAAATGCCAATTCAGTGATGAAAGATGCATCACATATATTATTTCTTTGCATCTTCATGTACTGTAATGGTGACTAGGATCTTTCTCATCCTCCTAATTTTTAACACCATACCTTATTTTCTAAAACCTTTTGGAGTTTGGACTTTAAGGGCTAAAAGTATCATACTAGCTCCTTGATAAAAAAAATATTGTGACCATACTTTTCCTCTTCATTGTTCCCTTCAACAGTAAAGAAAAAAATGAAAATTTACTGAATACAGTCACATTGCACTTTTAATAACTTTTTAATAGTACATGAAACGGATAAGCAAGAAGTAAGCAAAAGAGAAACTTAGGGCTCTGTTGTAAATGAGAGCCAATTGTTTAGAACAATATTTGCTTTGTTCTATGGATAAAGTAGGTTTTATACAGACTTTGCAACAAATTTGAACTCTCATATAGAAACTCATTCTGTTCAATTTATCCTAGAACTGAAATGCTGACAAAACAGAATTCCAAGAATCAGAAGTGATTATGTCCAAGTGTTTTCTATGCCAGACATTTTTTAAAAGTCACTGAACATAGATTTTCAAAGACCACTTCCCAAAAAACTCAACATTGCTTATTCTAGTGACTTAATTTTTTAGTATGTATGTATATATGTATGTATGTATGTATGTATGTATGTATGTATGTATGTATGTATGTATGTATGTCTATATCTATATCTATATCTATATCTATATCTATATCTATATCTATCTATCTATCTATCTATCTATCTATCTATCTATCTATCTATCTATCTATCTATCTAAACTGTTACTGGAATGAGCAATTTTGAGGTTTTTTAAAGTTAATTTTAAAGTATGTAATATTCTATTATTTAAAATATTTTTATGGTAACAACTCTACTATTTCTCCAAAAGAATGAACCAAAGATTTCCATATTAATGAACTATTTATAGTCTTCTTACATAAAAATAACAAATTAAATGGTAAGAAAACCTGAAAACCTGAAATACTGTACTGTAAGCCGGATAGTAATACAACGAATCAGTGGAATGTTAAATTCTCATTAGATTACAAAATTGTAATTAATCATTTTATTAAACAAACTTGATTTCTACATGTATTTCTAACGATGTTTATTCAGAATTTATACCATCACTATTGATTAGAATTATTTCATAGTTAAGTGTCCTTATGACAGTAGCAAATATCATATTGAGTTGTACATTATCATTTTTCAAGATACCTTATGTCATTAAAATGATCAAAACTGCATATGTAACTTAATATGTATATATGTCTCTCTGTGTGTGTTTGTGTGTTACATTACATACTACTTTTATCCAACTCTTACTTTAAGCTGAACGGTACTAAATAGTAAAAGGAATTTATAAAAGTTAAATTTCTAAAAACAATGCAGTTAGAAATTTTGCAGATTTGTTTTTGCTACAAAAATATTTGTCTTAATAGCTAGAGTTGTGAAATATATATTACTATATACTATAATTCAATATTTTTGTTCTAAGAATGTAACGGGAATTAGTTTAATGAAGGCAAACTTCCATCACAATTCTGCTGAAATAAGTTTTGTTCACCTCAACATGACTTCCATAAGACGAGCATAGGATGTCTGCGAAATCAATTGCACTATATAGTATAGAAAGATTCATCTTCCATTTACAACTGGAAGACATTGAACAGGCCAATGGGAACATAGATTTAGGTCAGGGCATTTCTTTTGGAACATCTGATCACAGTTTCCTTTCCCCCCCCCCTTCTTTAATTCGGAGGAGCAAAAAATAACCAGTATTGATTTTTTATTATTTAAACACATGTCTACAAAAAGATTAGAAAGATATGTTTCACTCTGGAACTGTGATGTGACAGTTATCAAAGTAATTTATAAATATAGGCTTTGCTCAAAAAGTTATGATTTTAGGAAAAACTCCTATTCAAATTCTGCATAAGTAAAAGATCTCTTAATTATTTTTTATCAGAAAGAACACTTTAGGTAGTTCATATAAAGTTTCTGCTCTGAACCTGAAGTGAAAAGTTAATTACATTGGATCACTAGCTATTTAGAATGTTAAAAAGGCCCAATCATTAATGGCTAATTCTTATTTTCATGTTCAAAACCATATATAAATTACAACCACTTTATGCTCTATATGATTTATTCAGGGGAACATTTTTCTGTTAAAGAAACCCTTGCTTGCATTAAATGTTTTTACATTTAGCAACTTTTTAAAAAGAAATCTCCAACTGCATCTACTAAGGCATTTATAGTTTATAGTTTAATTAACACAATGAATCAATTAGTTAAACATATTTCTATTCTGGAAATTTTCAGAGTAGATATATATATAATATTTTAATATAAGGAATTGGTTACTGTATTATAATTTGGACTACAGCTATATAATATTGAATAACTACAAAACTGACAAGAATTTGCAGACCTTCAGTTGTTGTTTTTTTAATGACAACTGAAGCTCTCCTAGATGCTTACTTTTTCAACCACTGGATTCAGTTATTGAAAACAGATGGGCATTACTCACATCCACAAATACAAATGTATAGCCCATCCATATACAGTATAAGATCTAATTATAAGAGATATGAAAAAAATTCCACCTATGATATTTAAAAATACACACATGAATCCATGGTGATTTTTTTGAGTGATTTCTTGTTAGCTAATACAAGAACAAATGAAAAATAGTTTGAACGTTCCCAATCATAAAGTACGCATCCTGTAAAATGTGTAGATTTTACAGAGTTTAAATATTCCAATATCAAACACATATTCAACCATTGTAACTTTTTTCTCCCAAGACAGTTCATCTAAACTTTATTTCCACAATATACAATAAGTAATTATATAACTTTAATAAAATATTTTCTTTAAAACTTAAGAGACAAAATTCTAGAAAGGTATTTACTTACTCTTCATTTAGCTCTAATGAATGAAAAACTTAAAGAAACCTTCTGTATCTTGATGTGTTTTGAAGCAAAACTTATCACTGTAAACTGACCCAAATGTGATATGCTTATATTGATTTTCTGGGAAACTATATATATAAGTACAAACCTTCTATACCACTAGGCTCAATGAAACCTATTCTGAATGGTGAGCAGTCTGAAAGAAAGTAAAATGATAATTCCAACAATTTTGCATACCATGAAAAAAGAACCTGGAATGAAAAGGAATGTTTCATGTCCGTGTATAAAGTCATTTTGACATGCCTACACAACTGGTTATGGCAGCTTTCAGAGTAATTCCTCATCACAAAAAAGAAAGAAAAAATGCTCCAGGTTCTTTTAAAGAAAGCTCTCCGTTGGGAAGTTGATTCTGGCCAAGTGCCAAAATCATGTGCAAAAGGGGCCCTCATTACCAATTCATGGCAGCCTTCAACGCTAACAAAAAATGTGACCCAACAGGCTAAAGCAACAACAAAAATTAAAAACTATGAGACAAAGACAACTTACTTAATATTCCCTTCAGAGCTACGTTAAACTTTAGTCATTCAAACCTTATTAGTCCAAAGCTATTCTCAACTGGATTTCAATTTTTCAATCTCTAAAAGTTGAAAGCATGCTTTGAATCTCTTCCCAAACGCCAGGTCTTTTTTAAAAAAAATATTTCTAAGCAATAGCTGAACTACTTTTTTTCCATATTCATGCCTAGAAATCTTTTTCTAAGTAGACATAAGAATATCTACCACATTACTTTCTATGAAAATTCTAAAGCTAAACAGAATAGCACAACATTTTACCAGTTTCTAAATAGAATAAATTCTCATTCAGATTTTAAGGATATATTCATGAAAGCAAGGCAGTTTACTAATATGCTTTTAGCTGAATTTCACTACACAGTTTCTAAGAAACATAAATTTGATAGTCAGCTTACCTAGATGTCGTCTTGCTTTTCTGTGGATCAAAAAGTTTCCTGCCTAAGCACACAGATATTCTTTCACAACCCATAAAGGCCCCTTTTATTAATCCAGGACGGTAACAAACTTCTTTCTGCACCATATTGGGAGCAGGATGCATCAGCTTTCAAGACAGAACACATTTTAATACACAAATGTTGGCAGATTGCATAATACTGAATTGATCTTCAAGAGGGAAAGGACTTTTGAAAAAAGAAAACAAAAAGGGTAAGAGGGTGCGGTTAGATGTTAGGCTATCCCTGAGAAAAGGCCTAGGCTGCACTAGTACCTAAATGCTAGCAGAAGCTTACTGGGAAAGGAGCCAATGGAATGACTTTGTTTGACCCAGCTGCCAATCTTTTCTGAAGCAGTGCGCCAGACTAAACACTGACACTATTTTAACTCAAATCAGGCTACAGCAGCTGTTTGCTTTCCTGCTCTGAGCTATGCACCATGGCTGTGATGACTCTGCATGGCATTCTATCAGGTTAAAATATGTTCCTTGTTTGGTTTGTCATATAGCAGTCATTAAGTTTAACCACTTCCTGTCTTCTGGTAAATGAAAGTTAATATTATATGATCACTGAAACTTCCCATAAATAAAAAATTACCATGGAATTCTAGAGATTATGAAATAATAGAAAGGCTACAAAACTAGTAGCAGCACTAACAATACTAGGACTGCTAAAGAAAACTTCATTTCCACATCATCAAAATATATTGTCTGACATGTTGTTTAAAATGCTTTACCAATAATATATTTCATTTTCAGTTATAGACTAAAATTATATTTTAACCAGCCTACCGTGATGGTGCTGGTGATGATTATGGGCAAGAAGAGATACTCTATCATAGATACTTAGATAACAAGGCCAGACTAAATATATTTTGTCTACCACTTCCTACTTTTGCAGGAAAATTATGGCTACCTTCTGGGCTAAGTAATATTTATGATTCCTTCCTTCAAGAGAAACAGCTTCTGACAATCCTTACTGATACCACACACTGTCTTTTCCAACTATACTCCAACTTCTGTTGTCAGTCACCAGTTTGAGTAGAAGAACATAGCTACAGTCTTGTCTAGCCCTTCTGCTTCATTCTTGCCTGTAACTTTTAAATCTTCTGCTGCAATATTAGTCTTTGTTTTATGAGTCATATTAGAGAATGTAGAGAGATACACCAGGATGTAAATATTCCGCAATTACAACACTTAGATTCTGTGATGTAGAAACTCTTGAATATACTTCATTGTGCATCTCTTGTATCATGTCAGAACTTCACACACTAAGAGGTTTTTCATTCATATGCTTGATGGCTGTTGATGAAGACATGTATTCTGCTGATTGGATGACAGATTGATATTCATAATTACCTGGATTTATCACACTTACAATGGCTTACAATATTACAAACTGAATATCCTGCTTTGCCACAAACTTGTTTCCAATTTCAAGTGCTGAGCATTTAGCAAACAATGTACCTAAATTCAGCTGCTTAGCGTAAACTAGGTTCACATAGAATTAAATTCATAGTCAATCCCTACTCAGTTTTTATTTATTTATTTCTATTTATTTCTTTAAATTACTTATATTCTTACCAATCTCACAAGAGAGACATTATTGACTGCTGTGGAACCTTATAAACTGCAAAGCCATCAGGCTATAATGTTATAAACTTATTTTCAATAGACCTGATTGTTCTAATCTACTTGGCCAGACCAGCGAGTCAGGTTCTAGTACACTTGCAAGCTTGCAAGCCATGGCAAGCCCACAACAATTTATAGAGTTTTTAGCCATGGCATTAAGAGACAGATATTGTTTCAAAGGTAGATAAGTCATGAAAGCAGCAACTATAAGGGTATAACTAAAGGCTGGAGGCAGGACATACAGTAATGAACTTCTGAACATTTCACTGCAGCAAAATAAAACCAGTAGCTTTTTTGCAGAAGTCAACTGTAGTGGCACGATGGTAAGCCAACGAGTCCTCCAGAAAATGTGTTAACACCTTGAATATCTATAACACTTTACATATTCTTTTGTCTGGAGAAGCTCATCTCTTTTTCTGTTGCTTTTTGCCATGAAGCAGAATTTGACAAAAATTGAAGTTTGAGATATGTTTGCTTATTTTGGGATGAAAGACTTATTGAATTTCCAAGTAGCTCTCTCCTGTGGCTGGTTCTAGAAATTACAATTTCTAACATAATAAAATACATGCATTAGACAATTAATATACACAAAGCAACAATATAAAGCAGATGGCAAACATTGGATTCCCTCCTGAATGCTTTAATGCGCCTAGTCTTCTAGAAATATAATAGTAATACATGTTTTTTTTAAAAATCTATGTAATTATAATAAACAGATACAATTTAGATCTGATCTGAATCTAATCATAAGAAACTGAAATAAAACAATTAGAGTATTTTTGCTATTGAAAATAATCTGTAGAGTCAAAAGCTCTATAAATATGGATTCTAATTATTATGTTATTTATGACCTGATTTGAGACTATTTACTTAATGTTTACATGGACAGATCTTGATTTTCATACTTCCCTATATTCTTCTGGTAGAAGTTCTGTGTCATAAATTCCTGAAAAGGTTAAAACACAGCCAACATAATCTAAGCATATTTATTAGCTTATGGTTAATAAATTCAAAGCAGTTTGAGTTTGCCAGGAAAGTAACATGATTCTTTTGTTAGGGAAAAGGTGCAAACAACTTTATCTCAACAAGGCATTTTGCCACTTAACCTGTCTTAAACAGCAAGAAGTTACAAAAGCATTAGAAGCAAAGAGCTTTCCCTCTCTTAAAAGTAAAGGAATTATGATGCTTTATGAAAGTATCTTCCAAGGGGAATTTCACTCAAAATCTAGTTGAAACGTAAATCTCTGAATGTCTATCTATGTGTTTTGTGTGTATGTATAGATAGATGTAGATGATGTAGATACAGACATAAATATAGAGAGAACAGAACAGAACAGAATAACGGAGTTGGAAGGGACCTTGGAGGTCTTCTAGTCCAAGTTGTTCCACTGAGTAATTGTTCTAACTGTCAGGAAATTTCTCCTTAGTTCTAGGTTGCTTCTCTTTTTGATTAGTTTCCATCCATTGCTTCTTGTCCTGCCTTCAGGTGCTTTGGAGAATAGGTTGACTCCCTCTTCTTTGTAGCAGCCTCTAAGATATTGGAACACTGCTATCATGTCACCCCTAGTCCTTCTCTTCATTAAACTAGACATACCCAATTCCGGCAACCATTCTTTATAGTTATGGATACAGATGTAGACATAGATATTGATATCTAGATATCCTGAGCTTTTTTAAGTCTTTAGTATAAGTAATTCATACAAAAAAGAAATATTGAAGAAATTTTCACAAACAGGATAATCTAAATATCACATTTTTCTCATTTATTGAAACAGATCTAACAGAAATTCACATATATTTATAATTACACACACCACACACATACACACACATACTGACACAAACACATACACACATTCAAACATTTTAGTTTTGACACCCAGATAACATTTATAAGGGTTATTTTAAATATTGTGAAAGATACTAAAAATTAAAAGAAAAAAATTCATCAAATATAGAGTACCTACATGTTTTACCATGCAGTTTCCTCCCCCCCAGGAATAAGCAGTGTAATGCACTGTAGAAAAATGAGTAAGAAATAAAAATTAAAGAAGAGACAGAAAAATAAAGAAATGAAAACACATTTAAAATGAGTTTAATACTATTCATGATTTTATATCTCTGTACCACTTCATGTATGTTCTTACTTTTTTTGTTGAGATTCTCCTCAACTGTATTAAATATACATTTCTTGGTCTTTCTCTTTCTGTCTCTTGACCCATTCATTCTTCCTTTACACATGCACTTTAACATACACACATATTTTTGCAGTTAAATCTTCATTAATACACTCCACATGATCAAACTAGCTAAATACACATCTTTTGCTGTGCTCATACCTTCAATGTACATTCATTCAGCATCCATAAATTCTTGATCTGGTTTAATCAAACACATTTCTTAAGTATCATATTCACACTGTATTCAACTTGTTTTTATGTTTTTTTTTCTCAACATGGTCAATTCTCACTACCATATAAAAATATGGACATAAAAATGTTCTTATACATTACCATTTTTCCCACTTTTGAGAAACATTCATTCCTCATAGTACACCACCTAACTTCCACTACTTTTCTAATAGTATTTATATGTTT